CCAAGATGGCATGCTTATCGGCGGGCAATTCCTTTTCTCCTCCTGTTTTTGAAGGGGAAACTAGGAAGGACCCAAGCTGACCTTAGGATGACCGTTTACCTATGGAGAAGAGGGATCTAGAAAACCTTAGTTCTCGCTAAGGAGTGATCAGAAGGTCAGATCTCTTACCATCTCTTTCCTTTAGCTATTCATTTTTTTAAAAGGTTGTCTAAACTTTAAATCCATTTTTTTGAAGTGTTTCTAATCTTTCATCCACATTTTAACCAACTATCTATCTATCCTACAACCCATTGCTGGACTTTTATTACTTTTTTTCTGTTTTTTTACTCTTTACTATTGAATTCTAAACCACTTTCATGTTTACTGTAAGGAAGTCAGTGGTGAAAATAGATTTTCTGCAGCAAAAGTCATCCAATTGGACTTATATTTTATACAGGGTTATATTACAATTTTTGTTCTTTTTAGCGCTTAAAAAAAAGAGTTCTGGTCTTTATTTTTTGACTTTTGATGGAAAAATTACCTTTCTTATAATCACTTTTTATTTTGAAAAAAAATTAATCTCAACTTTTCTCTGTGAATGGTGGGATATGATTTATCTGCTTCTCTTGTCCTTGGAAGGAAAACTGTGTTTTTCACAATGTTCATAAACAAGATAAAAGTTTTCTGGGAAGCATTTGAAAAAAGAATGCTCTACAATTCACAAGGATTTTTTTAAAATGTAAATAAAAAGTTGATAGGTCAACAACAGCTTTGAGCCAAACTCAGGATGATACCCCAAAACAGGAAATAATAGTTGGGCTTGATTTGCAACTTGATGAATTGGAATCTGATTTATTGCTGCCGGATATGAAAAAGAAAAAATCTGGTCTGAAAATTATAGATCTGCCAGAAAAGATTGAAAGGAATATGAATACAAGAAATTCTGAGATAATGGAATTGATAAATGATGGACTGAACTTTCTTGGTAAGATGAATGCTGTGTTTTTTAAAAAGACTTTTTGAACAATGGATGCTACAGAGATATTTACAAGAGTCTTATGAACCTGGGAAATGTGATGCAATTGTTGGCAAAGTTCCCAATTAAAGAAAAGGTTTTATTATTAAATGCCAAACAAAGATATTTGATCCTGAATGGGGTGATTTGTAGTAGATAATAGCAATAGCAGTAGCACTTAGGCTTATATACCACTTCATAGTGCTTTAAAGCCCTCTCTAAGAGATTTACAGTCAGCATATTGCCCCCAACAAACTGAATCCTCATTTTACTTATTTTACTCTTACTCATTTACCAAGGATGGAAGACTGTCAACCTTGAGCTGGTAGGATCAAATTGCTAGCAGTTGGCAGAATTAGTCTGCAATACTGCATTCTAACCACTGTGCCACCATGGCTCTAGATCAGGGGTGTCAAACTGCCGGCCCATAGGCCGGATGCGTCATGCCAAAACCGCACCCACCTCATTGCTGGCAATGGGAAAAAAGTCACGATATGTCGCAACACGTCACATGACATCGCTAGTTTGATACCTGTGGTCTAGATGAAATATAAACCGTTGTAGACTTCCAATGAGTTAATTACAATAATAGATTGTTAACAGAGGGCTTTGAAGTATAGCTTTGCTGTTGATTAATGTTAACTATTTTTTCTTCATACACACATACGTATACGTATATGTATGTAATGTAATATAGTGTAATGTAATGTATGATATGTCAAATTGGGTTACAAATAGACATCAAAGTTTATGAATCTTGGACCTGTTTTGCAAGAGGTAAGTTATTATTGTTGCAATATATTTGTCAGTGTTCAACTAGGGAGGATAATGTGTTTTTGTTTTTTGTTCTTTTAACTCACATCTTTTTTTTCTTATTTAATGTTTTTGTCTAGTTTTGTTTTATCTTTGTTATTATTTTCCCTTTGGATGTTGTATTTTATTTTTTGAATAAAATAAACATTTATCGATAAAAAAGAAAAATGAATAGTAAAAAGCCGAAGTTTTTCTACTGACAGTACTTATTATACCCAAAACTACATAGAGTGAAAGAAACATTTATCACAGGAATAATAATATTTTGTCTTGCTAACAAATGATTGTCGAATACTTTTAACTATTTTAACTGTTTTATTAAGCATATAAAATTTTACTCAGCAGTCTTTCACTTTCAAGCAAACATTACAATTTAAGCAATCTTTTATTTAAGAATGAAATTTACATGAAGCTTCATAAGAGTTATTTCAACAAAGAAAGTACACAAGAATAAATGTAATAAAATATTATAGGAACTGTTTGCCGTTTTATACTAACCTGCTTCTGCTTCTGCTTCTGAACTTTTGGTGAACTTAACAGACTGTCTGAAATAACACAAGTTGTGTGAAACTTCAATTTTGGTGCAATTCCCTAAGAGACAATAATTGAACATAAAGTTCCAACTGAATAGATACATGATGACAAAAAAATAAATGATATATACTGTAACAAACTATTCCTAATTTTAATAATTTCTTTTGTTAATTTCAGCCTTTAATAAAAATAGAACAGAAATTGTAACTGTCAAGAAGATAACATTTGCATTTCTGACAATTCAATTACTAGCAATTATATTGCTTTTCTGCAACAATTAAAATCTGATGTTTATTTCAACTTTTTGCTTTGTTAAAAGCATTTCTCAGGAATTTTCAAGGCATATTATATAATACTAATTAAAAGTAAAGTCATTCTGTTCAGCCATCACTCACATCACTTCTAAATGTTTTGAAATATATACTAGAGAAACTAGGATACCCTTTCTAATAATTTACCATTTCTTTCATATTTGTATTAAGCATATTGGTGATGACAAAAGACATTGTTTACAACATTCCTCTCACATTTGTAAAGCAAACAACCAAGTTGAACATGGGTACAGTATCTTCACCCAAAGCTTATGTAAGTAAGGAATGAAGTGTTAGAATTCATAAAAAGTTGAGTCAATGTAATTACAAATCATATAATTTCTGATTCATGTGGCTTATTCATTAAACCCACTACTATTTACTCTGAACAGCACCAAATTTTTCCGCTCGCAAGGGACATGGACGGCACACCTGGATCATACATTGCAAGCAGCCAATAGATCCTTAAATGCAATCAAACATTACTTTTACACAGGCGGAGGTCAATTAGTACCTGCTGCCTTAAAACTTTTCGAGGCCAAAACATTGGCGCAAATTCTATATGGGGCACAAACAGGAATCCTTGCAAAGAAAAACTTGCTTGAAACCATACAAACCAAATTCCTGCGAACCATCTTAGCTGCACCCAAAGGAACCCCAAATGCCCAATTAAGAATTGAGACAGGCATGCCCCAAATCCAGGTAAGAGCCTGGAAGATGATCATTCACTGGCTTAAAATGCATTTCTTTCCAGAGGGACTGTCCCCGTTAGTGCTGACTGACAACTTCCCTTCCCCCTGGAAGCAGGCGATAGATCATAAACTGGGCTCTTATGGGCTCTCTTCGGTATTTTTAATGTCCCTAGGCTTTGACCAAGCAAAGCAAGTAGTATCCAATAGAATAAAGGACATGGAGTTCCAAGAAGAACTAAATAGATTGCCTTGCCACAGTAGGGATAGAATCAAACAGGGTATGTGGGAATCGGCAAGATATCTGAATGATCTGACCTTCCCAAAACAAAGAATAGCTTTCTTCAGAGCCAGATTTAACATTCTTCCCTCAGCACTCCTCCAGGGCAGGTATAAGAGAACACCAATAGCAGAATGGGTATGTATATGTGGTAAAGGAGAAGTCGAAGACATCTCACATGTTTTATTGTACTGTGAATTATACCGAGTTTATAGGACAGCATATATTCTCCCCTTATTAGAGAGATTGCCAGGGAGGGCAGACAATTTTTATGTAGGCTTTCTCCTCCAGGACTCAAACCCTTCTATCACGCATGCAGTGGCAAAATACTGTGTTGCGGCAATGTCCACAAGAAAAAAATTGGTTACAGATTTATAGCCGTCAACTTGTGCCAATTTTTTGGAGATATCTCTAATAATGTTTAGAACATTATATTTACTCACACACTAATCGGCTATCCACTCACGTAAACTAGGGAGTGACCCTAACATTTTGAGAACATGTATTTTCTTAACAGGGATGTTATTATTTACTATTAATGTCAGTACTATTTTTATTTTATTCTATTGCTGGTCTATGACCGTAATAAAGTTATTATTATTATTAAAAAAAATAACTTTACAGTGTGTGATAGTAAAAACAAAGGAGCAATATAAATACAAAAGTACATCCCAACTCACTGATTTAGCAATACATATCAAATTAATGTAATGTGAGCAAGAAGAAAGTTTATTTCAAGGAGAAAAAAAGAATAGTTTTCCAACAGAGAACAGGAAAAATAAATAATATCTTAGCCTACTGGCCCATAATAGTTTGCATTTACAATTTTCAATATTTTTTTTTCTTCCCTTATCTGAAGTTCTGAGATTCCCTGATAATCTCCCATCCAAGCACTACCTACGAATGACTCTTGTTACTTTCTGAGTCCGGATAAGTTTAATTATAAAAAAAAATGGTTCTAAATTATTAACCATTAATATGTCAAATAAAACCCAAGTATAGATGAACATTTGTATTCTTGTGATGTATTATATATAAAGCACACTTACTGTAAAATCATAGCCCTTTTTCATTAAAACCTCACGAACTGAATTTCGTGGTTGATGGATAAACTTAGGAGCAGGAAAAAGGAAATCTCTTGTATTTTCTTCATAACTGGCTAGAATTTCTCCCACTGAAAGTGAATTACATGTTTTAACTGAAAAACAGTAACTACATATTAATACATAGAGATGTAGGCATTGAAGCATACAAAAAGAGACCATGATACAACAAAGCTAAGAATGTTCAGATTCCCTTGATCCCAACAGAAATATGAAATTTCATCTTTGCCTGCTAATGCCACAGAGCAGTATCCCATTAGATTAGAAAAGCCTATGATAGTACTAATCCAAGATGGAATCAAAAAACTATCTTGAAATGTTTATGGTGATATCCAAGGTCAACAATAAATATGGCTTCCTTTGGTGGAAGTAAAATATTAAACATATTATTTTGATTTTGGAATTCACCAACAATATAATCTATAAATTAATGAAAATAAGGGTTCCTAAAAACCATGGCTTTTTGAAATGCAATAAAGAAAACAAAATTATTGAGAGGAGCTAATATTATCAACCCAAATTTAATGTTCAACAATTTTGTATGCATGTTTGTGCGCCGCTTCAGAAAACCTACTTGAAATTATGAATCCAAATTTATGCACAAGAAATCTGGGATGACTGTGAAGGGTTTTTTATATTTCTATTCTATTTCATTCACTTGAAGTCAAAAGTGAATAACTACAGAACTAATTACCTTAACAGTGCAAAGACAAGAACTGGTTATAATTACTGACCTCTAAACTTTGATCAGCATTTCTTCTTAGGCGCTACATCCAAATAAGTTGTTTCACATATACAATAAAATTTGTATACATATCTGAAAAACTGTAGGAAACTGATCACAAGATAAAATCTATGTACAGATTCTGCACTGAAGAATCAATTCAAGTTTTAAGAAGCTGGTAAATACTGTGCACAGCTAGTATCTATTAATGGACAAATATTGTACTCTAAAAACATTTCTTGAAGAACTATATTGTATAGAATAACTTGTTATACACAAAAATTTACCATAGAACTGTTATAAAAACATTGATACTATACCTGGAGGAACAGTTTGAATTAACTGAACCACTGATGTGTCAGCTAGAAAAAGGGGAAACTATAATCAGAAGTCATTTTAATAACAAAGTTTAAAAAAAAATCAAATTATCTGTAACTTTGTACAGCATATTTGTTATTATCATGGACATCTATTGGTTTCTGGAGAGAGAGAGAGGGGGGGGGAGGGAGGGAGGGAGGGAGGGAGGGAGGATGGGGGGGGCACAGTTTAGCTTCTAACCATCCGGATTCCCGTAAATTGGATTTACTGACCAGAAAATGAAATTATCATGAATCAGATAATCTAAATGCCAGTTTATTGTTACTCTTGAAGTAAAATCCTTACGTAGTTTTTCTTTCAAGAAGGAATGCTCTTTTTCTGACTGAGATTTTTTCTACCCCACATTAGATAGCGATAAAGACCCAAAGCATTTTCCAGTAAGCTATGAAATCATACTGAAAGCTCCAGGTGTCACTCTAGGTTAGAAATTGGTATTTGATCTGTGGAGCAAAGTCCTCTCTTTCTTTATCTCAAAATATCCCTGTCTTGCCAGGATTAAAGTATAAGACAATGCAGAATCATAATTGGAGTTAGAGAATGTTCTGTGCTGAGTGTAACTCAAGCATTTTGGTCAGTAGGTAGATATAGCAGTAGGTATACCACATTCTAAATAATAATATGATAGCTTTTCTCATCACTACTCAGTAAGAGCATGCAGCTAATTTCTCAGTTTAGCTGTTTTTAATACATAAATCTGGCATATATCAGGTGGTAAATGTTTTTGCTTTCAAATTTTTTCAACTCAAACCAGGTTTAATAATTTATTTATTTTTACTGTAGTTTTGCATACCACTGTCTGAAAGCTTAGTGGAACTTACTTCTGAGGGAATAGGATGCAAAGCTAAGTATTTAATTAGTACACCTGTACCCAGTATTTCAGGCATAATGATATTCAAGGCAAACTAGATAGTATCTGCAGAGTGTCTTCTAATTTAACACTAACTAGACTTTAATTTTTAATGCCCTTTGCTGAAAAACAAACTGATGAGCATCTTAAAAAATCAAAAATAATGAACCTGAATATGCTATAATTGACACTCTGTCTTAAATCCTATCATTCTCTTTTTAATCACCCTTTTGTTATTTAGGAATACTGAGGAAATGGAAGGGGGCCTGTGACAAACCTCTAAAATCACGAAAGTTTCAGTTATTTAAAAGTAGATGTTCCTAGAAAATATACTAAATAGTTCTATATATAACCATCTAAAATATTAATGAGATGTTCCAATAAAATCATTTTTATTTTAATAGTTTAATTTGAATTTCAATTATTTCAGAGAAAATTTCTAGTACATTACATACTATGACTGAGCTTCTTATGAAATCTCCAATTGATTTTTGATGTTGTATACTATAAAATAATTTATACATGGAATAAAAAGTAATCAAAAAAAATCCAAAAACCTACTTTCAAAAAGTTCAACAAGATTTCCTGGGTCAACTACATCAGAATATACCTAAAATGAAAGTTTTAGAAAATGAAATGGAACAATTCTGCTAAAACAATCCTGAGGACATTTAACAAATACGATCACTATAATAATTTAGAGGAGTAAGTTATTTAAGGGAATAAAAGTCAAACAACATCAGCAACTTCTCACTGCAACAGAATCTTTTTTTCTCAGAAGCAGCTATTTTTCTGTTGACTTCTGAACTGTTTTGGTACTGGCTTTGACTCTTAAATTAAAAATTGACATAAATAATAAGTGCAAGTCTTTTACTTTCAACCTGGAAAAACATACCCTCTTTTTTTTAGAAAATGATCAATTATTTTCTTTCATTCTAGTAAAGGATGGAATATCACTTATATTTATTCCGTCAGAGAATTAAATATTCATTCAATATATGTCTACTCAGAAGTAAGTCCTGCTAAGTTTACGAACATGTATTTCCAGGCCAGTATAACCAACTGGGAATTAATCCTAATAAACTGAGTAGGACTTGTTCAGTAGGGACATGCTTAAGATTCCATAATTAAGGTTTGATCTTAATTATGAACCCAATATGAACCCAGAAAGCAAGGCTGGAAGGTTTGTTAAGATGATGATGCAGTTATGGCAAGGTTTGCAATTTTGTGCTGTGCTGAAAAAGTGAGGGAATACTTTATTTACTACAGTGTCATAATCAGCTACCATCACAAAATGAAGCATGTTTGGAAAAAATATAACTTTCCTAGAACTGATTTTTAAATAACCTTTATTTTAAAATGCACAATTTAAATCCAAACATAAACACTCCCTTTTCGAATAGTTTCCCTGTGGTTTCTGATGTTGACAATATCCATTTATATGAAATAGCCACAGTTACACACTTTTACCATATTGCTAGAAAATTTTATTCAGACCAAAATATACACTGCAATGTAAGGAACAATAAATAAATCAAAACTGCCAGGAAATATTGTTATATAGTAAACATAAAGCATAATGCACAGGGTGTCTATAAAGCCATATCTGTAAAGATTGCTCTATGTATTTTCATAAAATTTTCCTTTTTTTAGAATTCTTTTCAATAGTTCACATACTATATAGTTCACTCATGCCATTCAGGGACTAAACTGTCCTATTAACCAAGTGACTGTAGAAACGAATTGTTATTTCTACAAATAGAATGTATGTAATTCCTGAAGAATTCATAATCTGCATTTCTTCCATAAACAATACCCTCAGCTATTAAAAAAATAACTTTAAAATAAAAAAAAATGCAAGCAAACCTATAATACTTAAATATTAATACTTACATAAGCATTAATTCAAAAATAAAGTGAGCTGAAAATAAAATATTACAGAAATATGTATAAGAATGTGGCAAAGAAAGTGCTGGAAGATGAATTATATGTTAAATGTTAGACATGATATTGTAAGTACCTACTTTTTCAAACATTAATTTCTCATCAAATATCAGGGGGAATATTGCACGAACACATGAAGTTTTCTTATGTTGTCCAAAAATGCATGCACTGACATAGACATCTTCTCTGGATTTTAGTGCAACACCTGGACATGTTACCTGAAAGAGCAATTTTTCATAATAACTATGACTAATAAATGTTAACTGCATAACATTTAAACTCCACAGTCCACTTCATGAAATGCACAGTAAAATGTCATTATGGTGAACTCAAGTATTCAACAAAAAGTATCACAATGCAGAACACCGCTCTCAGCATTTTGATAAAAGCTGTGGATCTTGTGGATACCTAAGTCTACCCACATTTGGAGCCTGGTCCCGTGTACTCTTATTAAATTTGGTGTGACCCTCAAGATGAAAGAAGTTATGCAGCATTCCTTTGTTTCTTGAATAAGCCAACCCACTACGCCAAACCAAGCAAATCACATTATCGCTATTTACCGATTCACATTGACAGAAACCATGGGTGGTTCCCCACTTTGTAAAATAAGACACTGTCTTCTATAATCACATCTATGCTTGGAATTTAAGCTATATTAACCCTCTCACAGTAGTCTTCCGGAAGTGCTGAAGACAGTGTATTTGAATTAAACTGGGATTATCTACCAAAGATTATTACTTAGGCTTACTGTTTCTTGCTCTGCTTGAAATTGGGATATATTGTTTTAATTTGTCATCTGCTCGTGTTACCATGAACATTCCAATTTATTATTTACTGGTACATGTTGTGGATGTAAACTATTCCATGTCTTGACAGCTATGGAGATATGCATATGTGATAAATAAAAAACTAGAAAAATAAGCACAATTTGACATTTCTCTAATATTTGTAGATATTTTATGTATCAATTTAGCCTTGCTGAGCTTTTGGAGGAATAGGTAGTTGTCTTGTTTTTTTATGCAATATATAAAACTTTTACCAAAAAGAAAGTAAGTGTCCCCACTTTACAGAACAAGGGCGAAACCAAGCAGAGTACCAATTTCTGAACAGCAGTAGTTTAGCCACTCAAGTTAGTGTGCACTAATTTTATAATTCAAACCAGGAGCAAATATAAACCATTAGGACAGTGATTCTCAAAGGGTGGTCTGAGGAGATCCCTCAAGATCTTTCAAGGGTCCCGGAAATCAAAATTATTTATCAGTCTTCTATGTTAAAAAAAAGAATACAATATTAAAATCCCATCAAACAATCTGAAAAGCAGTAGTGATAGCTAATTTTAATTTTTAATACAGAAAATATTGATAAATATAACCCATACAAACAACGTTCTTTTGGGGTCTTCAGCATTTTTAAAAGGGAAAGGGTCATGAGAAGAAAAATATTAAGAAACATTGCATTAGGAGAATAAGATTTCTAAGCCATTATCTGGGCGGCATAAAACAACTACAATCAGGTCAATAATCAACAACAACTTTATTGTCACTTTGAATGTACACCAATCAGCATATCTCAAAATGAAATTTCATTGCATACAGCTTTATTTTAATCAGGTTAAAATAAAGCAATTAATATTTTTTCTTTAAAAAACTGCAAGGTGGAAAGTGTTTATTCAATCTGGAACGATCTGATGAGGAAACACTGTTTTTTCAGTATTTTATTTTGTACATCTGAATTGCAGATTAGTTCTTACTAATCTATAAGATACACCTGTAGAATTCAGCGGGTTTTCAAATTTACACTTGAATGTTTTGTGCTTGAGCCTTTTTCTTCCCTATGCCTTTGAGTCATTGTTGACTCCTGACAACTTCCTGGACTAGTCTCTGTACTTTTCTTGAGAAGATTGTGAGGATCCCCGTACTTATGGCTTGTTCGTGACAGGCCTGAGGCAGGACTGGAACTCACAGTCTCCCAGTTTCCAATTTAGTGCCTTAACCACTACACCAAACTGGCTCTCTTGGGTCTCTGTATGCAGTCTTAATTTCATAAAAATATTATTTTAGGAAGAAAAATTTTCATTCTTTATATGTGTGCTGGTATCTCAAGTAAAAGCATCTAACTGGTTGTGCATGGACACTAAATAGGTTTGGTTACAATCTGAATTGAAACAGGAAATCTACAATCTATAGACTAGACTGAGAATTGGGAAAAAAAAATCCTAGTCAAAGAGAATGGCACTATTTCTCTACTTTGCCAAGAAAACCATATGAATAATATCGGTGCAGTCAGCACAAGCTTAGCTATTCAAAAGAGACTTTACTCTCACCCCGCCCCCAAGAATGGATACATTTAAGAAACAGAAATGTTTCTGCTTTATGAAAGTGGTACTGTAATGCACTCAGCATAAGTATGTGGATCAGATTTGATATAGTGAAGGCTAGGGTTGCCAGGTCTGCTTCCCAAAAATAGCGGACAAGCGGGGGGGGGGGTGTTAAGTAGTAAAAAAAAGTAGACTGTACAGCTTTAGATTACGTACCATTTCATCATAAAGCTTTTGAATAAAAAAAATGTCCACTATTTTGTGGAAAAAAATAGTGAACATAATGTGAAAAAAGTGGACTGTCCACTCAAATAGTGGACACCTGGCAACCCTAGTGAAGGTGAAGAACATTACAACTTACTAAACTAAATGGTAGTGCATTTCATGTGAAGTTTGAGCACACACACACACACACACACACACACACACACACACACACACACTTCTCATCTTGAAGCCCATGAAAGAGAAAAGAAATGCTGGCTTTCAAAATATAGAAATGAAAATACTTGGAACAGCACTGAATTTAACCAGCTGAAATTCTTCAAAAGGACGGATGTAGAGCACAAAAAAGACAAACTTGTATTTCAAGACTGTAACTGGCCAGAAACAAGAGAGAGATGCCCGGATGTAGCCTAACCGTTCGTTCACCATTGAGAAAAGGAGAATGGGGTGAAAAAGAGCCAATTTTCTAAATGGTCATAGATACTAACAGAAGTGCCAGATCTTGGCTGTAAAAATCCAGATGTTCACTGAATGCTTAGTGGTGCTCTTGATTTTTTATTTTATTTTTTTTGCAGAGACTCTATGGCAACCAGGAGAGTCATGAAGTTAAGAGCATCGTCCGCTCTATAGAAGACTCGCCGGTTGCTTAATGTCGGGAGGGAGGGAATTAAAACAAGGCGGAAAGAAAATACTCCCACTAAGAAGCTGCCACCTCCTCCACTGGCCTTTAATTCAAAGGGCTGCTCTCGAAAAGAGGAGCGAAGCCTCGAGTCGGCCTCTTCGCAACAAGAAAGGCAACCAACCCTCCAGGCTTCCCCACATACAACGCTTCGCTCAGGAATCCGCCCTGAAGCTTTCTTAGCTTCGCCGCCGAAAGACCAAGTTCTCCCCTTTCTCGAATCTCTCAGGCCCGCCGCAAAAGCGCCCGTAGAGATACAGCGTCCCTCTAAAGCAGGGGTAGTCAACCTTGGCTCTTTTACGACTCTTGGACTTCAATTCCCAGAATTCCTGAGCCAGCTTAGCTGGCTCAGGAATTCTGGGAGTTGAAGTCCACGAGTCATAAAAGAGCCAAGGTTGACTACCCCTGCTCTAAAGCGAGCGGGGCCCTCCGAGACGCCTTTAGGCACTTCCGTCCAGCTCCCCTCCCCTCTCCTCCCCCCCCTCCCCGGTCCCCTCAGGCTTCCTCACCGTGCGGATGTGCAGCTCCAGAACGCAAACGAAACCCTTGCAAGGCGCCATACAGGCCGCCTTGTCTCTCAGCCGTTAGATGAGAAGAGCGGACTGAAGAGGGAATGGGGGGGGCGGGCGGGACCCTGTTCCGGCCCTTCACCGGACGCGTTGCTTGGCTAGGCCCGGAGCGCTCCGGACAGACTCTGTTGCCATAGCGCCGGAACGCTAATGCCCCCCCCCCTGAGGGCAGGAGCGAGAAGGCGTGGCTAACGTATCTACGGCCGGCTTGGAGAGCCGAGAAAGCTGAAGCGGGCCAAGTGTCGTCACTTCCGGTTCTAATGGCAGGCGTTATCGCCTCCTGGGGCCATTGACCGGATGAGAATGGAAGACGTTTCTGTTTGAAAGGTTTTAGTTTGGCAGATGAGGAAGGAGAAGAAAACTCTTCCCATTTTGATACATTGGTTGGAGTATACGTTTCTGAAATTGTCCAAAATTATATAAAAGAAGATATCCAAATTACCGTTTCTGTGATTCCCCTCCTCAAATAAGTAGGCTTTTTTATGGTTTGGATTGCTTAATCATCAGCCTTCTAACTGGCTAATTAATAAAGAAATCAGTCGGAAAAGTTTTAAATTACAATTGATGCTGATGATAACAATTGATGCCTCTTTAAAAGAGTAAGTGAAGGAATATACTCATTAACATTTCCCAGTTTTATCTTTTAATTAGCAGACCATAAATGTCCTCAAAGATGAACATGGTTTGCTTTCATTAGAACACAAACTGCAGAATATAGTTGAACTAAACTAACCAGAATCTTGTTTATGCCAAGGTAGCAATGGTAGTTGGAAATCTTATCTTAATTCAGGTGAAATGTACTTAAACATTAAATTGAAGTTTCAATGCATACAACATTGGGATCACCTAATTTCTTTTTCCCCCCATAGAACTAGAGGTAAAAAAGCAGTCTTAAAAAGCAGACTTTAAAAAAGCAGTCTTAAAAAGCAGACTAGATCACTATTTTTGACTCATTGATGTGACTTGTTTCATGTATAGTTTTGCATGGTCTTAATAGCAATTTACTCAACATTGCTTGGATAAATTGTACATTGCCCATTGTCTCTTTCCTGGGACCCAGCCCTCTGCTATCCGACATACAGTTAGAAAATGAACTTACTTATGAAAACATCTTCCTGGGTTAAAAAGAGGGATTATTATGGATTTCTTTTCATTATGGTGTCCAGAAATCACCATGCCTTAATGAGGGGCTTGAATGTTTTGAATTTTGTAAGCTCTTTGTTAGGTGATTTATTTATTTTTTGGCTAATGAGTCAGGTCAGCATGACACACGGGAAACCCTTTAAGCTCCTGGGCCTAAAAGCTCATATGAGTACCGTAGTAGTAGAGATGGAGGTAGGACCTAGTTAGATGAGGTGCCTGACCTGGTGAATATAACCAGCGCTTAGGTAGGACTGGGGGGAAGGGAGTCTTGAAGTTGTACCTGCCCAACTTTGAGGTTTGGCATCAGCTAGAGTTCAGTGGAGGAAATGGATATTACCCTAATGGTGAGAGCAATCAACCAATGGAATAGCTTGCCTTCAGAAGGTGTAGGTGCTCCATCACTGGAGGCATTCAAAAAGAGATTGGACTATTATTTGTTTGAAATGGTATAGGGTCTCCTGCTTGAGCAGCGGGTTGGACAACAAGACATCCAAGATCCCCCCCAATGGTGTTATTCTATGTTCTACGTTCACTTTCACAAGATTTTCACAAATCATTGAGCATTCTCAGAGATGCTGTGCCACAGGTACCTGGATTGCCACCAGACAATGTTGTATCCAGGGAGCTTGGGAGTTGGCACCATGGACCTGTACAAGCTACCAAAGTCATTTATATCAATGGTCACACTCGTTCAAGGTAACTTGGACCTTGATTGGAGCTTCTACAGACATATTATGAAGAATATTCTAGCTTTTCTGTTAAATAAAGTTGCTCAAATCCACTTAGAAGCGTATTCTGATTGGGTTATTCCATTGGAGATATCTGGGACACAGTTGTGTGGGGTGACTCAGTTTGTATGTTATTCCTGATGAAGTAGACGGTTTTACAAACTGTGAGCTTTGCCACTTGATTATTACATCCATATCCTTCTGGTATTAAAATAGCCCCCAAGAAGTGAAATGTGGTGAGCTCCAAGCAAAAGAGTCAGCTTCCTTGAGAGAGGTAGTGTTTCCTCTGACTTTAAAAAAGGTGGTGATAGACTTCCTTCTTGGAAGGCCATCACCAGAGTCAATAATTCTGGACAAATTGGCTTTCAGATGTAATTCAAGTTGCTGATTGTACCTGTAAAGTCTTCATATCACAGAGCCTGGTCTTTTTTTTTTAGGGACTGCCTACTTCCTGTAGTTTCTGCCCATTATATAAAATTATAGGTAGGCAGAGTTATCCATGCTTCAGGTTCCTTCTATTAAACATTGTCATGTAGCAGAACTTGGGAACTATGCCTTTTCTGTCATGATCCCTGCCATCTGGAATGGCATCTGTTTCCCCCTACCACCATGATTTGTATAGCTCCCACTCTGATGGTGTTCAGAAAAACATTGGAAACTTGGCTATTCTTTCAGGCCTTGGGCTAGATTGGGTGTTGAGTCCTTGCATGATTTTATTGTTTGCTCTTGTCTTTTGTCCAGATGCCTATGATCTTCATTCCTTTAATCTTATTTTTTGCTTTTAAATTTACATGCCACGTAGAGTCTGGTGCAGTCGGTGGCCTCTAAATTGTGAAATGAAATGAAATTTCATGTTTGTATCTGTATGTTGATAAGAATTCTTTCAGTCCCCAAACAACTGTTAGAACTTTGTCTGATACTGTTTGCATAAGCTTTGTCTGATATTGTTGCATAATAATTGGCAGTGGTGGCTGCTGAAGCTGTTCAGATAGGATGCCTCATGGGAATATGATAGTATTGTATTCATCAAATACCTGAATGGAGATCCTGTACAAGAAAGGTAAGACCTATTCCTTATTTTATAGAGTGTTATTATGTAATAACAGACTTAAATTACGCGGAGATACATTCCAATTGAATTTTAAGAAAAAGTTACAAGGGAAGGATGGACTTTCCTTCAGTGAATGTGTTCAAAGAGAAACTGGATCTATCCAATGAAATGTCTTAAGATATGTTTTATAATATTCGTTTTCCCATTTCCCTTCCTGTATCTTCAGTCCAATGTGCCATCTTCTGAATTCTGAAATGTCAGAAAAGAGGTCTAGGCTTTATCTAACGACAACTTTTCAGGAACGTGAATAGTTCTAATGCACCCACCCTCAAATCTTCTCAACACTAAATCTTCATAGTATGTTTGACACATAGTGTCTAGTTCCTGGTAGTTTCTGATGTCTTTTTCTTATTCTAACTTATTCTAACTTCTCTGAATCCTTAAAGTATGGTGTCTGGTATATACTTAGTATTCAAACTATGCTCTGAACAATGCATATTAAAGTGGGGTGATTAGGTCATGTGATCTGAAGGTGTCCTGTACTTTTGTGGATGTAGCCTGAAATCGCATGTGTCTTTTTACAGCCACATCTCGCTACAGATAGTCCTTGACTTAACGACCACAATTGAGCCCAAAATTTCTGTTGCTAAGTGAGACAGTTGTTAAATGAGTTTTGCCTTATTTTACAACCTCTCTTGTTGCTAAGTGAATCCCTGCAGTGGTTAAGATAGTACTACAGTTGCAAAGGGAATCTGTCTTCCCCATTGACTTTGCTTGTTCGAAGGTCGCAAAAAGTGATCACATGATGCCAGGACCATTGCAATCATCATAAATATGACCCATTTGCAAGCTTCTAAATTTTGATCACATGACCAAACAGTCGTAAGTGTGAAAAAATGGTCATAAGTTGTTTTTTTCAGTGCTGTTGTAACTTTGAATGGTCACTAAATGAAAGGTTGTAAGTCGAGAACTACCTGTATTGTACTGAGTCATATATACCGGTAGTCTATGATAAAGTACTATTCTCATATCTATTTTCCAAGCACAATTATTAAGTCAGGTCTTCAGTATTAATTGTATCATATTAAATGATACTTGTTTAAGTACTGTACTGATAGCTCACTACATCCGATGTTATGACATATTTTAAAAAATGTGAATATCCATTTTAATTAGACACCATGGCAAGAAGTAACATTATTTCAATTTGTTAACCTGCATCTATTATTATTTGTATTTTGCTTTGCTTCGGTCCAGCTCCTAATGCCTTCCAATGATGGACAATTTGTCTTATGTGGGATGGCATTTCATCTGTTTATCCCTGATTAATTGATTACCAGATTAATAGTACATTTCACACTAACCAAATTACAGTTTGTAAAATGTGTTTAGTCAACAGAAGAAGCCAAAAATTTCAAAATGTAACAATCCAACAGACAGGCAGAATGTAATTTAAAAAAAGATTACAATTGCATCTAGAAGGAACAAACTGAATCAAATTATCAAAGTGTAATGAAATGGGGCTGGTAGAATGATAGATTAAAGTTCAGATTAAAGACTACCTGTGGATTTTGGAAAGAATTGCAAATATTTTTACTTTAACATATAAGGTAAAATCTGCTCATGCCTTAGGTAAGAAATGGTCTTGAGAAATGATCTACATGGTAGTCTTTTCATTTTAAGCAAGGCCAAGCTACCCTGACTTCTGACACAACAGTTGATAATATGGTAAACTATCAATACTATAAACATAGAACAAAGGAATGAATATATGTAATTTAAATAATCAAATGTTCTGAAATACATTAATGAAAGGTGCTGTTTGCAAGCCATTTATTTACATGATTGCCTTGTGTTTGTGTCAGGTACATAGTAGTACAATGTATTGGGGAAGAGGGTGAAGAAGAGAATGCATTCGGCATTTTGTTCATCCCTTATATAGAAATATAAAGGCTTTTTATTTGAAAATACATGTGGAGCAGGAAATGAAAAGTAGCAAATGATTGATTATGATATGACATCTGTAATATTATTATGGTTACTCATAACGGAGATTTATATGTTGAAATAGTGATGCCTCAGAAAGCTCTGCCACTGTAGTTCTCCTCCCACTTTGCAGGACA